TCCTCCTCCTTCTCCTTTTTTTGGTACAGGGGATTGAACCTTGGGCTTTGCACTGAGCTACATCCCCAACCTTTTAAAGTTTTTATTTTGAGACAGGGTCTTGCTAAGTGTTACATTGCCTGGGCTGGGCTTAGACTTGTAGTCCTCCTGCCTCAGCCCCCCAGTGTACAGGGATTACAGGTGTGTGCACCTCCATGTCTAGCTTTCATGGCTTTTTTCTGAGTCCATGACCATGTGGCTGGGTGTGACTGGCAGAACTTGGGACACATGCCTTTAGTCTATCAATATAGCTGTCTGAGAGATGGACGTTTAGATTTATGGTACAGGAGGACAGGTCTCATGGCCTATCAATCAAAGACTTGTTAAAATGATGCCAGACTCCATGGCATCCATGGTGGTGATGCCTGCTATGGACTTTTGTACCTGCACAGAACACATTTTGATCACATCCATCCTCACTGTTACAGTTGGATGGGCCAATAATAATCCAGGTTCTTGGGTAGAACAAGGTAAGAGTGGCTAAGTGCACACCCAGTAGGAATAGCAGCTGCATCTACTGAGGAGCCCAGGAAGATGTGCTCAGGCCAGTCTATGTCAAGAAAGGTACAACATAGACCAAGAAAGTTTCTGGGCAACAGAAAAGCAACAGTAACAAAAAACAAAGTACAAATGGCCAATAATTGTGTGAAAATATGTTCAACATCACCGGCCATTCAAGAAATGCAAATTAAAACAATGCTGAGATTTCATTTTACTCCAGAAAGAATTGCAATCATTAAGGAGTCAAGTAACAGATGCTGGCGAAGCTGTGAAAAAGGAGCTCTCCTACATTGTTGGTGGGGATACAAAGTAGTACAACCACCCTGGAAATCAGTATGGAGATTTCTCAAAAAGCTAAAAATAGAAATTCCATTTGACCCAGCCATTCCCCTACTAGATACTGTCCCCCAAAAGTTAAAGACATCACCCCACAGGGATGCATACATGCATATCCATGTTTCCAGCAGCACAACTCACAATAATTAACTTTTGCGAGCAACCTGTATGTCCATTCACAGACAAATGAAGAACGTGTGGTATTTATACACAGCGGAGCACACCTGGCTAGAGAGGAGAACAGATTTGAGTCATTGTAGGAAAATGGGTGCACCTTGAGACCGTAACGTTAAGTGACATAAATCAGACACACAAGCTTAAATACAATGTGGTTTCTCTCATAGTAGAAATCCAAAGTATAAATAAAGCAAAAGAAAGCATAGATAAAAGGAAACAGCTAGATCTCCTGCAAATGGGAAGAAGACCAAGGGACGGAGGGAGGGGCAAGGGCAGCAGGGGAAGGGGACATAAGGAAAAATTAAGCTATGTCTCCTAGGGTGTGGTGGCGCACACCTATAATCCAGCACTCAGGAGCCCGAGGCAGGAGGATGGCCATGAGTTCAAGGCCAGACTGGGCTACATAGTGAGTTCAAGTCCCCCTGGAGACTCTGTCTCAAAAAACCAAAAAATGAAAGAAAAAAAGTTATGTCCTGTACAAGTAGCAGATGCCCGTGATGAAAGCACTCATTATCCACTGGAAACACATACTAATACATAACATTTTAAGAGGCTTTCTTCCAAAGAATCTTTTAGCATGTGGCTCTTTGAATTCAAGATACAAACTAGAGCAACATTTGATTATGTTCAGCAGGTGTCAGTCTACTGCCAATCTTTTGAATTTTTATGAGAAATAGATGTTGAATTTAACAAGAGTTAAAAATTGATGCCTTGACATAAGAGATTATATGAAAAATTCCTAATGCTAAACCACTTTTGCAGTCCTGGAATACACTATTTTTATGGTTATGGGTTATTCTTTTAATAACAAGTTGTATTTCTGGTATTTTATTTAGGATTATTGTACCTATTTTCATATAGGGGAGGAGTCATAGTTTTTGTCTTCCTACTATTTGTCAGAGTTTGGTGTCCTAGTTGTGATAGTTTCATAACAAATCAGATCGATTTTCATCTTTATTCATGTAGAAGGACAGCTCACGTGACAAAAAAATAAGCAATTTCTCAAAAGTTAAATTCAGTATCTGAACCTGGAGTCTTTTGTGGGGGCTAACTTTTGGTAACTTTTTTAACCTTTAACTTTTGGCTTGATTATTGGTCTTAAAAATTCTTTTTTTGTTGTTTTTGAGACAGGGTTTTACTGTACAGATCAGGCCTTAAACCCTCTTTGTAGCCCAAGCTGGCCTCAAACTTAACCACGATTCTCCTGCCTCAGCTTCCCAAGTACTGGGATTACAGGGATGTGCCACCATGGCTGGCATTAAAATTCTTGTAAAATAAAATTTGATAATTTATATTTTCTCACAGAAAAGAATCCATGTCATTGAGATTTTCAAATTCATTGGTCTCTGTTTCATTTTTGTCATTTAAAATTTTATCTTTTTTTTATATACTTACCGGAGATTTGTTTGTTTGTTTGTTTTTCTGGTACCAGGAATTGAACTCAGGAACTCACGACCTTGCTCTTGCCAGGCAGGTGCTGTGTCGGTGAACTAAATCCCCAGCCCCCTCTTACTGGAGATTTGACTGTCTCAAGTCTGGTTTTTCCTAAATGACAACCCCAAATGTATTTATTATTGTTCTTGTTTTATTATTTTTAAATTTATTTTGCCCATTTTTCTTGGAATAACCTCAAGGTTCCAGTCTGAGTTAGAGCTGCCTCTTCACGTTTGGCTTGCGGTGTGACCTGCCGTGTTTCTGCGGAATTTTGACCTTCCTGGTCACTGTGTGCGGGAACACTCCCGGGTAGAGTGTTCTTTTTCTCCATGATGTTTCCTGGGCTCTAGAACAGCTCCTGCAGATAGCAGGGGTGCAGTGAAAGAATGAGTCTGAGGAGTGGGCGAGAAGCTGCCGGAGGTCTCCTCTCCCGGGAAGAACTCGTGGGGAGCCAGAGGTGAAGGAGCCGGTCACAAGCCTCTCTGTAACAAGGAACAGCATTTGCTACGGCCCTGCCCGCCTCATTGGCCTACGGCCGGCTACCCACAGGGCGCGATCGCTTCTTGGGGTGTGTGGTAACTAGGAAAGGGCCCCCCTCCTGAGCGCCCTTCGCTCACGCCTGTCCAGGGGCCGGGTGTCTTCTGATCGCAGAGAACGCGAAGACAGCCGCGTGAGGGTGTGGCGGAAGGTGACCTTGGGGCTGGTGATAGTTGCAGTCAGGCGGTGACGGAGAAGGGGTCTTGGAGTAAGGGCTGAGGCAAAAAGGTGGTTATTGTGATGCAAAGGACCTTCGGGGAAGGTTGAAGTTCTAATCTTGGAGAATTCTGAGCTCCAGTCTTGAATATCTGATCCATGGTTGCTGAGAATGGGGGTGTGTATGCCTCAGATTGTGCCTTAGAAATGGGGGAGGCCCCCGGACCGGAGGGAGAGGTGCCCCAAAGCAGTGCCTCTCTCCGTCTCCTCTCCACCCAGGGCTGTCGGATGAAATGCAGGGTGCCCAGCTAAATCAGAGTTTCACCCAAACACCAAATACTTGTTTTAATGTGAGTGGATTTGGGACCAGTTGGTTTAGGCCGCTCTGACACAGGACCCTCGGCCGACCTGGGAGCACTTCCGGTGGGGAGGCAGAAAAGCATCTCCCCCAGCCTGTACCGGTCCTAAGATGTTCCCAGCAAATGCAAAGTCCTCAGGTCCCCAAAAGCAAGATCCTTTGTCCCTGTTGCATCTTGCTCCTTAGTGGAACTGTGAGCTAAGCGAGCTCGCTGATCTCCATTGCTAAGGGAAAGTGGCCCACGCTCTGAGGCACACAGATGAGTGAGAGGCTGCTTGCCTGGACTGCTCCGGGCTGCCTAAAGGAAGTGACTTAAAGCAGGCTTCCAGCAGGCCGGTGTGCTTATACATGGAGAGCAAGGGGCTCAGCCAGGAAGACGGGTGGGGGTCACGCAGGAGATGACCAGAAGCCAAGGGCACCAGGCCGATGTCACAGAGTGGGACGCGTGAGGCAGGAGCAGGCGTGAGAACCCCCCTCCTCAGACCTTCCTGGGCGCCCTCGGCTTCCAGGGCCTCTGGAAAAACAGAAGGAGAAACTCTCAAGTTTCTGGGCTAGAAAAGAAGTTTTGGGAAGCAAGTGTGAAGGAGATATAACCTCCAGGTATTGTCATGAAGTTTGTGTTACCCTCAGACTGGCCTCATTTATTTCTGACGGAAGGTTAAAAACTATACAAATAATTTTAATGGGCATGATTATGTTCTCATCACAAAATAATGCAGCACAGGTCCATAATTACTCATAAATGATCACGGTGTGAACCGCTATTAATTAGTGAATAGCTTTGGAAAAAAAATCTCAATAGATTTGGGAAGCACTGTTAATAACCCATTACGATATGTCTAGGGGTCAAATCACCATGTCATGTCAAAGCATAGATTTATGATTCCATTTTTAATCATTTCAAAATAATTAAGAATGTGCAGTGCATCTGACTGGGCAGATTTGAGGTACAAAAACCATATATCTGCATTAGGAGGGAACGGATCATTTCTGGCTAAAATGGAGATCAAAGCTCTTCCGACATCCATTTGGCAAGAGCATGCACATTTTATAGCGTCTCCAAAGTACAAATGATTTTAGATAAATAGCATTCAGCTTTTCTTTCCCTTTCCTCAGGGCTGCCTTCTCACAAGCCTAGAGAGAAAAATCACAAGTTGTCAGGAACTTCTGACCTTGACTTGGACTGTGGGGCAGTCCCACCATGTCCGTTTTCCCTGCCAGGATGGGAATGTTTCCACCTTCTTCTTTGCCTTTCCCCAGAAGGGGTCTGGGGGAAGTGACTCTGCTCTTTCCTCTGAGGGATCCTCTCATCACCTTTTTTTCTTTTTGGGGGAGTGTTGTGCTGGAGTCCCTTGTAGCCCAGCAACCTTTGGCCTGCCTGGACAGCACCTCTCGGGTGTCCTTGGAAACCTTGTTGGGGGAAGGAGGGAGCTGATGGTGACCGAGGGTCTCTGTGTTCCAGGTTCTGCCGGACACTTCACACACATGGTCACAGCCCTCCTGGGGAGCAGGTGTTGTCATCTTTGTTGCCCAGAGAAGTGACGGATTCCTCCAAGCTTGGGAAGGAAGCCTGAGGTTGGAGAGCACCATGAGGTCCCATGTGTCATCTGATGGCTGACCCTTTGGAGGTCATCCAGACAAGCTTGATGTGACCTGCCATGTTCAGTATGTGCTTTCTTTTTTCTTTTTCTTTTTCTTTTTTTTTTTGAGACAGGGTCGCACTGTACAGTTCAGGTTGGCCTTGAACTCACTCTGTAACCTAGGCTGGCCTTGAACTCACAGCAATCCTCCTGCCTCAGCCACCTGAGTGCTGGGATTACAGGTATGTGCCACCATGCCCAGCTATATATGCTTGTTTTTAAAATGCAAAATGCATATAAAGGAGAAGATGATCATCCTTCCTATGCCCCTGCTAATCCTGCTTCTCAGAAGAAATCACCTTCAGCAGATGAACGCATATTGTTCTGAATATCCTCCTGTGCCTATACGAACGTAATTTTCTTTAGTGTAGGTAGGGTCGTAATACTGTTCTGTGATGAGCTTCTCACTCAGCAATCAGTTATGGAGATCCCCTCAGATGTGTGCATGCACCTACTTTAGTCAGCCCATCCTTTATCTATTGATACATCTATCATTTGTCTACGGGATTTCTGTTTCTTTGCCCAGTTGGTTCTAGCTTCAAAATCTTCACCACAGCTCTTCCCGCTCTCCTCTCCTCCCGTCTCGTGTTTGGGTTCTGTCACAGCCTCCTCGGTGGGATCCCCACCCTGCCCCGGGCCTGTCCTCTGCCTTATTTGAGCTCAGCAGAGGTAGTGGGCCTTTGAAGGCGCAAGCTGGGTCATGTGACTTTGTCTCCCCTCAGAGCAAAGGCCGCACAGGCCCTCCGAGTCCACCCCCTCTGGCCATCCGCTCCTTTCCTCCTTGCTCCCCTGTTTGCTGTGCTGCAGCCAAGCTGGCCTCCTTGCTGTTCTGTGCGCTGCCGGGCCTGCTGCTGCTTCCTGCACTTCTGCAAAGCAGCGGCTCCCTCTCTTTCTACAACTCGCAGTTTTGCTCATCTGTCAGTGTAAGCCCTCACCACCGCTCTGTAGATGGGCGCGATTTCCTAGGATGAGGTCTGAAAATCAAGTACTCATGCATACCAAGTCAAAGCCGGGACTATATTTACTGAGCAACCAATCAGAGCATTCAAATTAAATGAGGAAAAAGACAGACACACTTCATCAATCCGTGTCTCCGTGTGCCTGCACTGTGGCTGCGGACCGAGACCTGGTGGGTCCCTGACTGTCCGGAGAGCGGGTCTTCTGATAGGTCGGGAGGGGTGGGTGTGGCAGCGAGTGAGGTGTGGATGAACCACGTGGGCAGCGGAGAACTCTGGAAAGATGACGAGGTCCAGGAGGTGGCTCTATGTGGCCTGGATGGAGTGAAGGAGGATGCAAAGACGGCAGTGAAAGAGGAGCAGGTCGGGGTGCAGATAGTCACCCAGGAGGCTGCTGTCAGTGGAGGGGAAGGAGGATGGGGTCCGGGTACGCAGGTCTTAGTTGAAAAGGCACAATGGCGGAAAGGGACTCCGCTTGCCTCCTGAAGGCCCTGGGGAAGTGGTCTCCATGGGAAACCAGGTTTTATTCTAGGGAGAAGCTGGTGATGTGGGGGGTGCTTCTCAACTATGGACAGAAAGCTAAGGACCTTTGTCCTGTGAAGCTAGAAATATTAAAATTCCAGCTGGCATGGTAGCGTATACCTATAATCACAAGCTTTGGGAGACTGAGGCAGGAAGATTGCTGTGAGTTTGAGGCCAACCTGGGCTGCATAGTGAGTTTAGGACCAGTCTAAACTATAGAGGGAAATCCTATCTCAAAAAAAAATTAAAATTCCTAATTGAAAATCGCAAATATCCTTAATAACATTTCTAGCATTTTGTGATGGAGACCACTACAAAGTAGCCCCGAGAAGGATTTAAATGAACTAATTGGCTTTCTTTTTCTTGTTTTTCCGACTGGCTTTTCATGTGTACTTGTCTACCCAAAGCCTAGGCTGCTTGTCTGGAGACGGGCGGCGGACTTATAGTGAACCTCTGTGACTCACTGATCCCTACTGAGGCCTGTAATGGTGGATGAAGCCAGAAAGCCTTGAAGGCAAGACAAGATCACAGCCAATAACACCTGGATCCAATCTCAACTAGATAAAGATTTTAGCCTCCGGCAACTCACTCCTGGGTGGATTAGTTTAATACCTTACTTGGAGAAGTCCTTGAGTGGTTCACCCTTCTTGAGTACACCCCTTCCTTTTTTGACAGCTAAATAAATATGAGCCGTCCAGAGAAGGTCTTGGTCTTAGCCCTGAGAGAATCTCAAATTCTGTGAGAGGGCTTTGATCCTCTTGGAGCCCTGAAATCATTCCATGTGCCTCTTTTATTGAGCCTTTGCCATACACTCATTCGGGAGATTGCAGACCTGATCTGCCTGCAATTAGTAAGGGATATTATTAACCCGATAATTTTGTACTTGTTTTTCTTCACAGTTTACCTATTTGTGTTTAATCAGCATCTGATTGAAGTCAAACAAGTCACGGCTTTCCTCTTGTATGGTTAATCATGCCACGGGTGTCTCGGTTGGTGTGCCACCTCCAAGCTCTGAGTGAAAACACCTTTGGCTTTCGTTCCATCCCTCTTTCCATGAACCAGTGGGGGACTTGGATCCAGGATGCTTTCTGGCGGGATTCCCTCACCCTGCCTTCCTTCTGGACAGCAGACCCTTGGCATGGGTGTTGACAGCACTGCCCAGGGCACTGGTGGCTGTTACCAGGCTGAGGATCCACCTTTTGATGTTTTTTTACCTGTGGACATCGACAAGACTTCCAGAGAGGGCTGCTGGGCCTCTCCAAAGATTTCTCCAGAGGTTCTGTTCTTACTCCTGTCCCTGGGGTGGCCCAGTTTACCTGAGGATTTTTTTTTTCTTCCTGTACCAGGAATCAAGCTCATGACCTTGTGCTTGCCAGGCAGGTGCTGTGCTGCTGAGCTAAATCCCCAGCCCCCTTACCTGAGGATTAAAGGGAGCGCCTATGACAGTGTTTACCAGGTTGCCTGGTTGCAGGAGATGGTTTTTATGTTTGTCAAAGGCTTTTCTCAGCAGTGGAGGGGCCAGGCTTTGCACTCACCTTCTTGTTGCACAAGCGTTGCTGACCGCGGGCCCATCTATCAGAGCCATTGCTGTCACCCAAGAAGTTGCCAAGGCAAGGCCACGAATCACAGCGCCAGAGCTGCTCATAATTGCCTCATATGTGTTTCCAGTTCTCGAATTTCAAACTGTTTACTGCTGGGAACAGATGTTAAATTCAGGACGCTTGTCAATTGTTGGCGCTATACACAAAAAAGATGCTTAAAATTAGAAGCCTGATTGAATTTTAAGTACGGTGATCACAATCGTCGGAAGGGAAATAATTGAAATGGTAAACAGTTTATTGTGGGAGATGAGAATAAGGAATGGGAGAAAAACTGAACTTGAATTTGAAGGCTTATGATCTGGAGGTATAATAGGTATTCTATGATGATGATTAGGTTAATTAATATTTAATTGTAGTGGGGAAACTCTTTGGCCATACTTAAGGGCCACTAATGCCAAATACATCCATTTATAACTTAGATAACTATAAGAACAGTATTGTATTGGACACTATTATGCACCAGGTATTGGACTTGAACCTTTATATATCTGACTGATGTTTAGCTATTTGGTTATTCTCCAAGGCCAGGAAGAAATGTTAGCTTTGGCCAATTAAAAAAAATTTGATAAAATTATATAACATATAATTTGCCACTTTAGACATTTTTTTGAGGGGGCTGGTCTCACTGTGTTGCCAGGCTGACCTTAATCTTGGGAGCTCAGGGGATTGTCCCACCTCAGCCTCCCGAATAGCTGGGACTACAGGTGTGTACCACCATGCCCTGCTGAAACAGAGTTTAGTTTTGTTTTGGTTGAGACAGGGTCTTGTTATGTAGTCCAGCCCAGGCTGGCCTTGAATTTATGATCCTCCTGCCTCAATTTGCTGAGTGCTGGGATAGGCACCACCACACCTGGCTTGAGACAGATATTTTAAGCATAGAATTCAGTGGCATTAAGTTCTTTCCTAATGTGCAATTATTCCCACTACCCATCTCCAAATGTTTTCATCACTGTCTTTGTTACTTTTCTCTTGTTGCTGAGACAAAATACCTGACACCCAGAATTAAGGAAGGAAAAGTTTATTTAGCTCACAGACTGTAGAGGTTTCAGTCCATGCTTGGCTGGCTCCAAGGCAGGGTGGCACATGGCAGAGGGCAACAGTTCATGGCGGCAGAACACAGCAAAAGCAGCAACAGCAAAATACAGGAGTGGCAGAGAGCAAGGCTCTTTCCCTCCCTTACATTGTATGTAAGACTACCTGCCCCAGGGGCAGGTGTAGCACTCACACCCATCATCCCAGCATTGGGCCAAGAATCAGTCAAAAATCTAGAAGCCTGCCCCATGACTGCATGAGGCTTTGGGGGGACATGCAGACACAAGCCATAACAATCACCCTGAACCGAACTGCTGCATCCATTAAACGTTTCTGTGTTCCTCTTTCTGCTCCCCTGAAGCCTCTATTATCTTTTCTGTTTCTATAAATTTGCCTTGTTTGAATTTTCTAGGGCTAGTGTCAGACTCTGCCTCTCTCCTGGCTCTAAAAGCTCTTGTCTTGACCAGCTCAGTTGTCCACATTGTGACCCCTTGTGGAATGCAGCACCAGGCAGGGGGCCTGAAACACCTCTGGGCCTGCTGAGGGCAGAGAAAGACAGCTGAAAATCAGAAAATCAGAAAAACCTGGACCTCAGCCCCAAAGTTGTGGTTGACCTGTCTCCCCCTGCAGAGCTGTGTGCAGGCTCCATGCCCTGCTCCCTGTCCTGTCAGGGCTTGGAGGGAGCCATCCTTCGGAGGTCATGCCCCTCACATAGTGCAGGCTAGCTGCAGGGGCTGCCTTTCATTCTTTGAATGAGCCCAGCTAATTCCTGGGGCTTCCTGCCTCCCAGGCCTTCTGATATATTGGTCCCTTTTCCAGGAACATGGTTCCCCCATTGTCTCTTCCGCTTTGAAGAACCAACTGTCAGTGCTTCAAATCTTAGCTTAGAAGTTCCTCCAGAAGCTTTCCCTGATTTCACCAGGTTACCTGTCCTCTGCCGGATCTGGCACCCACTGTCCTCCTAGTGTGTCCCCTGGCTCTGATCACATGGAACTGTCTTTCTGTCCACTTGTCACTCACTGCAGGAACCCCAACACCTTTGCCTGTGCCTGGCACAGAGTTGATATTTGATATAAGTGTGGGTTGAACCCCCTCCACAGCCTCACTGCTCTGGACAGAATCACAGTGTGCTACTCCTTTTCTACCTACTTTGACTACCTACCCAAGGTACCTTGGGTTTGCCCTGGTACGTGTGCTCAAAGGGTCATTAAACACAGGTACTATGCAGGGTGGGCACATATGGAAGGTGGTTGTGCCAGTCAGCTTTCTGTTGCTGTTACAAAATACCTGAGAAAAACAACTTTAAGGAGGAAAGGTATATTTTGACTCATGGTTTCAGAGTGTTCAGTCCATGGTCAGGCAGTTCTATTGCTTTTAGGCCCTTGATGAGGTAGAAACATGGTGGAAGGACATGGTGGAGGAAAGCTGCTCACTTCAGGGCATCCAAGAAGGGGGGAAGCTAGGGAGGAGAGGGGAGAATGAATATGCTATTGGGCTTCTTCTGCTTTTATTCTATCCAGCCTCCCACCCTACTGGATGGTGCCACTCACATTCAGGGCGTGTTTCCCCAATAACCTGCTATCCCACATGCTAGTCATCTCTGGAAACGCACTCACAGACACACGTCACTGTTCTGCCCAGGAGTTTCTCAGTCTAATCAAGGTGACAAGCAAGATTAACCATCGCCGTGCTAGAGAATGGACAGATGGGATGCTGCAGCTGTGCGGGACTCCACCTCCAGCCTCAGCTGCTGACGGTCCAGCTCAGGGACTGTGCCTTCATCCTAAGAGGGAGAGATGTGTGGTGTCAAAATGGGTGTGTGTTGAAATTCTGGTGAGATCAGGTCAAGACTCAGTTTTCCTATTTGCTGCTGAGACTTGCTTCCCAAACAGGAATTCCTAGCTACACATGGGGACTTGCTTCCTGTTGCTATCGCTGGTGGACTGTGAGCAATGTAAATTTTAATTTTCCTAGACCTGAAAGTGTTATTTCAGTTGGAAATGGACCAGAGATATCCTATTTCTGCCTTGTTCCCTGCTTTGTGTGGTGGGTGAGATAATGATTATGTAAATATTGTCAGGCCTGGATCTTGCAGAAGGAAGTTCAGGAGAACCAAGGAGTGCTGCTCGCCTGGAAAATCTTTGGCAGTGTTGCGAGGTCAGAGTTCAAGTCTTTGGGTTCAGCAAGGAAGAAGTGTGGCCAGTAGAGTCTGCCATGTTAAAGAGGAGTGACGTCTGACTTAGGAAAGTTCTTACCTTCACGTCTATTTTCATTTAATGAGTCCCTTACATGAGTGCATCCTAGAGGTGTCTGTGTGTAACAGTTAGTGAATAGGACAGAGCTAGATTTGAGACCAGGTTCTGTCACTTCCTAGCTCTATGACATTGGACATGCAACTTAACCTTTTTGGGCTACAGCTTTCACTGCTGCAAATCAAGGATAAAACCACAGCTTCCTGGGTTGTGAAAATACAATGAGGTGAAGCAAGTGCTGATCATGAGACCTGGCACGACACAAATGCTAAATATAAGGCGGGAATAGTGTTAGTTCCATTATTATTTAGAATTGCTGACACACATTGAATTAGGATTGTGGTCTCCCATGTCATACTAGACAGATTTTGATCCCTGTATTTTACCTTCTTTCCAGAGTAGAATCATCAGTGATTCTGATTCTGGGGCCAGGTATATTGGTATATGCCTGTAATCCCTGTAATCCCTCCCTTACGGGAGGCTGAGGCAGGAGGATCATTGTGTGTTTGTGAGTTTGAGGCCAACCTGGGCTACAAAGTGAGCCTAGACTGCATAGAGAGACCCTGTCACAAACAAACAAACAAAAAGATTCTGAGACTAATTTATTCTGGGACCCAACAGAAAGACTAGGAGGATGTTGCAGCCAGCTGTATGTCTCCTTGCTTGAGGAAGGCTTTCTTCTGTCCAGGTTATGCTCATAATCTGACCACGAAAAAAGATAAATGTTTGATGGAGTTCAGGATCCTCTAGGTGGCTGGGGCAGGTAAAAGGGCCTACTTATGGACCTTCTATGTCTGGGTGGTCCTGTGTTATCATCTGTGTGCTCCTTAGCTGGAGAAGCCTGCTTGCGCTGTGCACCCACCGTGTGTGTGTGTGTGTGTGTGTGTGTGTGTGTGTGTGTGTGTGTGTGTTCGTGCGTGCGCGCGCGCGCGCACACACACGTCCTTGTGCTTACGGTATTCAGCCGAGGAGGCCTTGCTGTGCCTGGTAGGGACCTGGGATTGGCCCAGCTGTGTAATGTTAGCTAAAGCTGCTGCTGTGACAGATGTTCTTTTGCTTGGAGATTCATTTTGGGGTATTTATTGCGAAAAACTTGAGGTAAGCAGAAAGTGCTCAAAGATTCATACTCTACATTAAAACCTCTTTATTAGCAATCTAGTTTAATGGGCAGATAATCCAGAGTCCTGGAGATAATCATCTGCTACCAACTGAACACATTTTATCAGATAACGGTGTGAGAAATGGTGGGGGCTCAGCCCCGGAAGAGCCAAAGTTGCTCTTGGAGCTCCAAGAATCTAGCAAACGCTGTTTTTTAGTGTCTAAAATTCCCCTCTGCTTTCCACTCTATTTCAGGACTGTTGGTTTTTATGGTACACAAACAAGATCATGGGGGAAGGGATGGTGGGGGGAAAAACACTCTCAGAAGTTAG